AGGCTGGGTGCCCATCCTGCTCCCCACAGCAAGCCTGTTGCCCACCCCTGGCTGTAGCCTGACGTTGCTTGCCTGCCCGGGCCTGTCTGTCCCAGGAACACTGCCTGAACTTCGTGGTGAAGGAGTCCCACTTCAACCAGGTGATCATGATGAAGGAGTTCGAGCGCCTCTCGTCCCCACTAATTGTGGAGATTGTGCGGCGGAAGCAACAGCCACCCCCTCGTACATCCTCAGACCAGCCTGTGGACATTGGTAGGAAAACCCTGTTCCTCTGCCCTGGGTCAGAAGGGATGGTGTACATCATAGGTAGGAGTCTTGGGAGCCATAGTGGGTTAGCCAGATCCTTAGAGCAAGGGTTGCCCTGTGCCTTGTATGCTCTTGGGCCCAGGGGCAGGGATACACAGAGGCAGGCAGGCTTCCTCAAAGACCCTCAACCCACAGAACTTTCCACAGCAGGGTGTGAGTGAGGAGCTTGAATCCTCTGAGCCCATCTCTGGAGATGGACTTGGCGCCTCTTTCTGACAGGGCATCAGATCTGATAGATCAAGATCAGTGATAAGCTGCTGAGCTTCTTGGTCTTCTGGTGTCTTCTTGTCCTGTTTAGAAAGGACACAGGCTCTTTCATTTACTCAACTCTCTGTGTGGCCTGTGATGACCCCATTTAGTGACATCTGGTAACTTTACAGGCCACACAGTGGGTTCAGAGGGGACCCTAGCATGAGGGCCAGAAGGAGGGCCATGGGTGGAAGATCAGACATGGGGGGCAGCAGTCCTGAGGGCCATGTTGGGACTGTTGTGCTCCAGTTGGCCTGGGGTGCTGAAGGGAGAAGAGTGAGCTGGTGTCACCATTGTCCCAGGGAACCCTTGCAGAGCAGTGATGTGGGCAGATGTGCAGAAAGGGCAGTATCTGTCAGGTCCCAAGGCCACAAAGCAGCCCCTTTGCTCAGGGTCTGCTCTGGGGTGTGGGAGGCACTTGCTCAGGATCCCTTCACATCCCCAGGCACATCTCTGATCCAGGACATGAAGGCATACCTGGAAGGCGCAGGTGCGGAGTTCTGTGACATCACGCTGCTGCTGGATGGGCACCCACGGCCAGCCCACAAGGCTATCCTGGCTGCCCGCTCTAGGTGGGTTGAGGACCTATTCAGGAGGGCAGGACTCAGATGGTGGCTACATTCTGCTCAGATCTTGCCGTCTGCTACTCTCTGTCTGCAGCTACTTTGAAGCCATGTTCCGGTCCTTCATGCCTGAGGATGGGCAGGTGAACATCTCCATCGGTGAGATGGTGCCCAGCAGGCAGGCCTTCCAGTCCATGCTGCGCTACATCTACTATGGCGAGGTCAACATGCCCCCTGAGGACTCCCTGCATCCTCACACCCCAAGGGCACTAATCTGCTCTCGGATTAATCGCAGACTTTGCCAGTCAGTGAAGGACAGGAGGGGACCATCCTCTGTGGTGAATGAGGGCCCCAGCGCCAGCATCACTCCTGGCTCACCCCCTCAAGATGGCTTTGGTACCCAGCTGCCCTATTTTGGCCTGGTGATCTTGGCTCAGCTTCTCATTCTGGAGAATTTCCTGGTGCCCAGTACTGTGTCTGGTGTTCTCCAAAGGCTCGAAAGCATGTGGGCAGCCAGAAGGAATGAGTGGTCCTTGACCCTCACAGCTGTATATAATGGGGTCAGTCATTGCTCTGAGTGACAGGAGAGCAGACAGATGTGGACTGACTCCTTGTACTTCAGCAGGGTTTTAATATGAGGTACCATGGAGAAGTCCTGCAGATGTGCTATGGGAATGAGGGGATTTGTGGTCTTCTTTGGATTTTGAATGGAGTCTTTCAGCCCCAATGTGGTTCAGAACTTAGACAGCAACTAGTGTCCGGGCCTGGCTCCCTGGCCCTGGCTCCCACGGGGAGGCTGCGGAAGAGGCAGCTGAAAGGGGCAATTAGGCTTCCTTTGGCCATTAGGCTCCTTAACTAACTCCCAGCTACCTGTTTGCGGCCCCCTACTACTATGGCTTCTACAACAACCGGTTGCAGGCGTACTGCAAGCAGAATCTGGAGATGAATGTGACCGTGCAGAACGTGTTGCAGGTAGTGCTGGTGATACCAGTGGGCCATGCCTTCCTCTACTGAGGGGGAGTTGGGGTGCCTCAAAGTCCCTGCCATTTCAGATTCTGGAGGCAGCTGACAAGACACAGGCATTGGACATGAAGCGGCACTGCCTGCACATCATTGTGCACCAGTTTACCAAGGTCAGGCCTGCCCAGCCCCGGCGCGCATGGCCCCAGCTCTCCCTGTCAGGACACAGTGGGAGGAGGGGAGTCACGGGCCCTGGACTGGGCCAAGCTGAGCCTGTCACTCACTGCTGCTTCCTTGCTCACCCTCATCCTCAGAGCCAGCCTGAGTCCCATCCAGGTTGGGCTTCCAGAGGACTCCTGTGCTCGCCCTGGCTCTTATGCAAATCTGGTTCATTGTGCAGGTCTCCAAGCTGCCCACGCTGCGGATGCTGAGCCAGCAGCTGCTGCTGGACATCATAGACTCCCTGGCCTCTCACATTTCTGACAAGCAGTGTGCAGAGCTGGGTGCCGACATCTGAGGCTCCCCTTGGTACCCCACCAGCAGGAAGAATGATGCTGCCAGCCTGCTTGGGCCACTGCAAAGACTGCCCTGTGCACGCCCCTGCCTATAGTGTGTGCATCTGTGGGGCCAAAGGCCAGGGTACTCAGAGCCTCTGAAGGGAGCTGAGCAGGTGCAGGCTCCAAACACCTCATTTCGTTGAGGAAACAGGTTCCACCGGGGGTGGAGAGTGAAGCCACCCCTCTCCCCTTCCTGGCAGGAAGCCAGGGTTGAGTGACTAGGACACCACAGAAATGTGCCCTGGCTGCCACCCAGAACTGGGCAGCCTGGAGTGTGGCTTTGGAAGTTTCACCTTGCTCCTAGGGCCTGAATGTGTTATGGATTCAGACACTGGGTTCTGGTGTCAGGGCAGCACGGGGAGGGAGCTTGGCAGTTACTGCAGCACCAGGCAGTCCACCTAGGCTCTGCTCCATCCCCTCTTGTCACTGAAGTCAGTCATGGGCTCCTCCTTCCAGTAGGAGCTTATGAATGGGGACAAGTGATGTACATCTGGTCTGCCCTAGAGATGAATTCTGGAGTGATGAGCTCTGAGGTCTGTGCCCAGCACACAGGGCAGTCATGCTGGGCTGTGCCTAGCTTGGCTATGCCTAGCTTCCAGAGGGGCTGCAGGCTCCCAGCCTGCCCACCTGTACATCTGGGCCATAAAAAGTCAGCAGAGAGGCCCTAATTATTTACTGTCACAGATATGCCTCATTAAAGCCATGGCAATGCTACCTACATATGCCTCACTGGCATAGTCTCCACTACTGCCTCTGGCCCTGAGCTCTGGCTGCCTGCCTGCAGTGGAGGACCAACTGTGCACCCCAGTGGTTTGGTAGACCCTGAACATGGGTCAGTCAATTGCATCCACGCTGTCATGATTCCTGCCACCACCTGTTGCCACCCAGTAATAAGTGGGAGAGGGGCCATGGAAAATATCACCTCCTGAGAGCCCCAGAGTAGTATCTGCCCTGCCCCACTCCTGTGCATCTCTGCTGGGTTCTGAGGGTTTGCTCTCCTGCCTGGAGTGGAAATGAGAATAGGCCAAAGCCTCTTCCCATCACCCTAGAGTAAGCTCTGTGTGAATCCATATTGACATGGGAAGCATAGTTTTACCTGAGAACAAGAACATAGGAACCCATTTTGTCTTTCTTTGCCACGAAGTCAGAGCTTACCTTGGGGAAATGACTGGCTCTTTTCCTGGCCTTATAGCTCTTTCCATTCATACCTGTGCTCCATGCAAACATGGCCCTGCTACAACTGCAGCCCTTGCTGTGGGGCCTCAAGTAGCCAGGAGGCCATGGGTGGCAGGCTGGGTACCTTTAGCTAAGGGTAGCAGATCCATAAGGCCAGCCAGCCAGCGGCCTGGTACAAGATGAGATGGGAAGTGAGGGAGCTGTACTGAGGGACTGGCTCTGTGAAGCAGCAGGTGGCTAGGGTTGCTGGACAGGGGCTGAAGGCGTGGCGATGTACCACTATAGGGTGGGCAGCCAGGGTATGATTTCCTCAGTGTTCCACAAAATTACCCACTCAGACTTACTGCAAAGCAACCTCATCCATACAGCCCTCCTGGAGGAGCCAGCCTAGAAGCCTCAGAACAATCTGCACACCCTGCTCTCTGCTGACCCTCATAATTAGCTTCTCTACCAACTCTTTTGGACATGATATACCCTAAAAAGCATATCTGAACACAGATGTAAGTTCTGGGACTAGGAAATCAGTAGTGCTCCTTGGTTTGTGTGGCCAGGGACCAGCAGCGGGTGTTTCTCCACAGTGAGAATCAGCCCATGGACCCAGCTATTTACTTTGGTCACATCCATAGTGAAGCCTTCTAGGTTCCCTTAAGTTGAAGAAAAAAAAAAAAGACACAGACTGGGCCCTTCATCCTTGTCTCCAGGATCTACCCACCTATTCCCATACTCCAAAGGACTAAAATTTTTCTTGGCAAGGTCTTACCATCTGCTGAGCGCAGCACCCCCGGAAGGTTGATGGCTGTCATTACTGCCCCTTTTTCTGACAGGTCTAGTAGTGAGTGGTACAGGGGGCTGCCCTGCCAGGCAGATGGAATCGGTACCTCTACATAAAAATAGTCTGGGCGGGGTTTTATGAGTGGCCTCAAAAAGGGCTCCCCTGCTTGTTAAGGCAGTTGCAGGACCCAAGGACAGGGTTCCTGGCACTGTCTCCTGGCGCCTCCGTTCTATCCCATGAAAACCCTGTGGAACACAGCTGTACAAGCATAGACAGAGTGGCTGTCCCCTGTGTAAGACTGAGGGGTGGCTAAGAACTAGGCTCTTCACAGCCAAGAGTGTATAGACTGCAGGATCTCAACTCTCTAGAGGCTGCAGCCACTGTTCTGGGAGGAAGTAGGGACAAGCCTGGCATCCCTTGCTGAGCCAGACAGCAGCATGTCCTAGAATCCACTTTATTATGGCATCTGGTGGGTGTGCTGGGTGCAGTTCAGACCAGGTCCCTCTCCAGTGGATGTGCAGGAGGAAGAGGGCACAGCCCCGATGGGTGGTCCCTCCCTTAGGTCATGCTATTGCTCAGCTGCATGGCGAAGTCCTGCACGTGCTCCTTCAGAGTCTGTCGGGCATCAGCCTGTGCGCGCTTCTCCCGTGCCCGTTCCTGTTGCAGCTTGGTCAGCCGCAGCCGTAGCCGCTGCTCTCGCCGTTTACACGCCTGCAGCTGGCGCTGGGCCTTGTCCAGGGCATCAAGGGCAGCTTCAGCCCTCCGCTTCCAGAGCAGGGCACTACCCACCTGGTAGCTGTGTTCATTCTGGATGTAGGCTCCAGCAGGTGGTGGCAGGCGCAACATGTAGGCTGAAGGGGAGACAGGCCGTGGCTCGACAGGGGAGGGCTGCCGCTCGGGTGACGGCTGGGTACTACAACCTGCTTCATCTGCTTGAGCACCTAGGGAGCCCAGAAGGTCTGAGAAGGGGCTGCTAAGGCTAGGCTCCAGTCTCCCAGCCGGGGAGGCAGGCAAAGTGGCAGGTGCTGAGGCCTCTTCCACAGGAAAGCAGGTGACATCAGCAGGAGGAGGTGTAGAAAAAGGAGCTGTGGGCACTCGGCCTTCGGAGCAACTGGAGGGAAGAGGGAAAGAGACTGACAGCCCAGGCTTAAGTGCTAGACCCACTTCCTGAGGCCCTCTGATGTCACTAACATCTGACCGCCCTTCCACAGGGTCCGTACAGCTAGAACCCCATCCAGCCAGGCTGCAGGCAGACACCCTAGCGCCCACTAAGTCAGGCTTGGAATGGGAGTGGGGCATGCCCCCACCCACAGCACATACCGCTTCCTGCATCGCCGGAGCCGGCTGACATCGTGGGGCCCAGGGGGGTAACTGTGTCCCTTGGTCTTGGTTGTCCGCCGCAACTTGGAGAAAGACTCAAATATGGTAGGCACTGCCCCTTCCTTCAGCCTGTGATACCCACTGTGGGAGAAAAGCAGCCTGGATGAGATGGAGCACAATGGCTGCCACCCTGGGCCAATCTGGCCCGGGCAACCCAGCATGGGTTCCTGAGTCCTAGGGCTATGGGAAGCTGAAAGGCAAGACTGCAAACAGTAAGTTTGGAGAATGCCAAGTTAGGCAAAATCCACTAAGCTTCTCCCCGAAGGCTTCCTCAAAATTGAGGTGCCAGAAAAGCTCCCCCAGTAGGGCTGGGCTCACAACCCAAAAGAACAAGCTTGCTGGGACAGCTGGTACCGAACAGCCCCGCGAAACACCGGTTTCTCTGGTATGACCAGCACAGTTATCCTGGGAGTGGGTTTTATTGTACACAACTGGGAAAAGGGAACAGGACCCTTGCAGCCGGGTTTGCCTGTCTATCGGGCAGACTAGCCTCATGCCAGCTTGTCAAGGACCTCATCAGGACACACAGCTGCCACACTCTCCAGTCTGGAATGATACCCCACACCCTACCCAGTGCTGGCTAGCAAGGAGGCCCACCTGATTCCCACCAGCTCAAAGCAGTTCTCCTCGAAGTGTTTGGAGCAGAAGTAGATGTACTCAGAGGCCGGGTCCCACAGGCCCTGGCCGCTGGGGTCCAGCCGTTGGCAATTGGCCAGCCACAAGCCGCGCCTTGGGTTGTCCTTCTTGGGAAGTCTGCGGAGCCACAAACCCATGAACACCAAGCTGCCCGCAGCCCTGGGCTCATATTAACCGAGCTCCCCAGGCAAGAAGAAGAAGGCCGGCACAAGCCGGCAGGAGACCTCCCAGGGTCCCTGCCTGGTATGCACCACTCGCCTAGGCAAAGAGGAACCTCCGGCCTCGAGAAAGCAGCTTGCTCAGAGTTACAGAGCAGGTAAGAACTGACAGCAGCGACGGCTAGGCGTCCGGTCCTCCTTTTCTGGACAGGATTTAGTCCCATCTGGACCATCCCATTCACCCTCCCAAACTCAAGCAGCATAGTTTGGACCGAGAACCACGGACAGCACAGTCGCTACCCAAAACAGCGGGCAATAGTAGCGCATGCGCAAGGGAGCCCTCGCGTACCAGCACGCACGCGCGCTGACCTGTGGAAGGAAATGCCGCGGTTGCGCGTCTCCCGCGTATCTCGTGTGCAGCAGCCGGCGGCAGAGCAGTGACGCGGCATCTGGGGAAGAGGAGGGAGGGTAGGTCGCGGGCGGCCGTCCGGGCCCAGAGTGGCCTCTTGCCCTCAGCTGCCACTCCCTCCAGGGTCCCTTGGTTTATAGGACCACCCGTGACCCGATCTCGACCTGACCCCGTCCCAGCCAGTTCTTTTATCTCCCGCTAGCGGCACTCACGGTCTCGCCATTGCTGCGCCGCTGAAATCTCGCGAGGGATGGAGCGTGGCGGAAGTCAGTACCATAGAGACTCGAGCCTGTGGCACTCGGCCCGGGGCGGGGGTGCGTGGGGGCGGACCGGAAGACTTCCTAGCTGGCTGGCCCGGGAGGCGGTGCGACCGCGGCAGGTTCGTAGTGTCTCTGTCTAGTCAGCACTTTGGAGTACCCCGGCTTTGTTTTGTGTTGGTCTCTCCACTTTCTCTCCAAGGCTAATTCTTCCTAAACGCTCCGGCATGCTTGCAGCAGCAACGGGACGTGGGAAGCCATAATGGTGCCCCTGGAGTCTCTCAGGTCGGCAGCCGGTTTTGGGAGGGCCCCCGAACCAAGAAACACTACCACCAAGAAAACGGGGCGTGGATTTTTGGAGGGGGAAAAAAAAACCAAAAACCTTTGCTCAGGCTGAGGTGCACACCTGTAATCCCAGGTACTCCAGAGGTGAAGGCAGAAGGATCAAGTTCGAGGCCAACCTGGAATTTAGTGACACCCTGCCTCAAAAAATAAGGGCTGGTTTTGTAGCTCAGTGGTAGAGCGTTCACGGGTTCAATCCTCTGTACCGGGAAAAACAAAACACAAAACACTTCTCTCGCTACTAAGAGAGTAGTTGGCAATCCCCTAGTACATTTGTGATGTGCCAGAGGTTCTTTGGTGCCTCCAGGAACTTGTGAACAGTGGAAGCAAACTAAGGATGTGCATGAAAATGGAGCGTCAGGAACTGGGTTTGCACAGCCCCTTGCACACAAATGAAGAGGGACGGCACCTACCCTCTTCCCGCGCAAGAGGCAGGTGACGACAGCCACTCCATGACCTGGAAAATAAACCCAGCCTAACATACTCAAGGCACTGTGTTCGTCCTAACATCACAAAATTAAAACAAGGAAACACAACATTTCTGTACCAGTCAAGTATGGCCCAGAAGACTTAATGCAGAAACTTACCGTATGTGATTGAAACGTACTGTGAATATTTTTAAACTTTTTAGTACAGTAGAAACCACACTGCCACTAATCTTCAAAGTACTCTGTCTTGCATCAGACACACTTATCTCACCATTCTTGCCAATATCTGGAGCTGTTCTGCAAGTCTTTCTTATCTTTAGTTGCACAGCCATGGCTGCTTCCAGCCTCCAGTTCAAAATGGTTTACCTAGAGGCCGGGGATTTAGCTCAGTGGCACAGCACCTGCCTGGCAAGCGCAAGGTCGTGAGTTCGATTCCCGGTACCGGAAAAACAAACAAACAATCACCCCCCCTCCAAAAAAAAACAAACCAAAATGGTTTACCTAGCGCTGAGTGCTGGCCCATGCCTGTAATCCCAGCATTTGAGAGGCTAACTCAAGATTGCCATGACTAGACCCTGTCTCAAAAAAGTCGAAAGCAAAAACGGTTTACCTTTCACAGCCATTTTGACTTTGGGGAAGAGCCAGAAGTCCCATGGTGCCAGACCCAGTAAGGATCGGGTAGATGAGGACATACCATGTTTTTACAGAACTGCCTCCTTGTTGGATGGCACTTGGCAGCAGCATTCACTGCGTTTTGATCACACATGGAGAGTTCCAGAATTGCTTCATACAGTGGAGAGAATGATGGGATAAGTGTGTTTAAAGTGAGAGGGAGGTTTTTTTTTTTTTTTTTAAATGATGGCTTCATCTTTTGTGTTTTGAGACAGGGTTTCACTATGCAGTTCAGGCTGGCCTTGAACTCACTTTGTAGCCCAGGGTGGTCGCGAACTTCCAACAATCCTCCTGCCTCAGCCTCCCAAGTGCTGAGATTATAGGCATGTGCTACTACCCCTGGCAAGAGGGTACATTCTG